TCCGGGTCACATCAAAAGGATGCTGGTGCCAACCTGCAGAGGCTCCCCCGCCACAGGAGGAATCATTACCTCTGAGCTTCAGAGAGGGCTGGAATTTGCAGTCAATTGAAACCTGCTCTGTACATTCACAATGATATAAAAAGCAAACAAACAAACAAACACAACACTAGTAGGTCCTTTCCAAAGGACGCCAGGGAAACTGTTATCCTGACACCGGATAAAGGCATAGAACCACGCACGTACCCTGCCTTCCCTTGATGAACTGCACTGATGGGTAGGGAAGCATCTCCTTGTGAGATTATTCCACAGGATAACGGAAAGGGATGACACAGTTAGAGCGTCACCACAGTGAGCTAATGAATGCAGGCAGTGAGCTGCAGAAGCAGCAGCTAGCATCTCAAACAGATGATGGCCAGCAGCAAGGTCTGATCCAAGACAGCCCTTGCCACCCACAGTCTCTCTGAAGGCTGGAAGGCGAGTCTGTGCCGGCCCGGACACCCTGAGGCGCATGCCACCAAGGGCAGTTCAGCGGCTCTGGGTGCCAGCACCATGGTGCATTGGACCTGCCACCTATGGGGTGTCATGGAGCTAACATTTTACACATTTTTCTTAGTTGTCCTAACATAATTAAAATAAAAAAAAAACAAAACACATGTATTGTTAAACCAGAGGCTGGCAGTCCAAACCCTGCTAGCCCAGATGGCACGGCGGGTAATTTATGAACAGACCTGGGACCCCCTGCCCTCCCACATGCCTGTCCCTCCTTCTCAGGTGGCCCCTCTGAGGGCCACTGCACATCTTAGAAGCTGCCCCTACACACCACACTGCCTCCCCTGGCAGCCACCTAATCCCTGCCATGGTGGAAATGGCAGTCAAGATGGAATTCCTCCCAATATACAAAGTCTGTACTATTGACAACGGAGCTGCAATGTATCAGACAAAAGTAAAGCTGAGGTGGAAAGTGTGGTCAGGTAGCCAGGTCCACAGAGGGTGAAGAGCTATTTCCCGCTGGGTGCAAGGCAGGCAGGAGAGGAGATGAACTTACCTACTACGTCATAGCAAGAGCAAAATTCATGGGGTGATGTCATCAAGACACCACCACACACCAGGCAAGATGACACTCCAACAGTGACTCTGACCTTGACCAAAGTCACACTATTTCCTACCTAAGGTGACCCTCTATCCTTTTAATCTGGCTTAAGGCTGTATGACCGCCAGGTGACACGTCCTCAGGGCATACTGGCAGATGAGAAAGCAAGAAAGCTTTTCCTATTCAACTCAGCAGCCAACAACAGGGTGCAACCACAACATGACCACAGGAAGCAACACCACCTGACGTATCACCATGGTTTTGGTCAATGTTTGTTGCTTTATTTATTCATTTATTTATTTATTTTTTATCTGTTATTTATTTATTTATTTATTCATTTATTTATTTATTTATTTATTTTAGTCACAGAGAGAGAGACACGCAGAGACACAGGCAGAGGGAGAAGCAGGCTCGCACCGGGAGCCCGACGTGGAACTCGATCCCGGGTCTCCAGGATCGCACCCTGGGCCAAAGGCAGGCGCCAAACCGCTGCGCCACCCAGGAATCCCCAATGTTTGTTGCTTTTAAAAAATGCTTTTAAAAAAGTGTGCAGAAATAAAACTGTGACAATTTTAGGAATTTTAAAATTATGAAATATTTTGCTCCCACAACACACAAGTGTAGCATGAAGCAAGTAAATTGAGACCAAATAAAATAAACTATAAAATGTGGGTAAAGTGGCAAGTACTTGGCTCAGAGCCTGTATAAACACTCAGAGCCGGAGTGTCCTGAGAATGCACAGCCCACAAGAGAACAGGCCAGAGGAGCACGGACATGGGGCAGCGTTGAGGCAGGAGCAGCCAGGAGGGGACAGAAGGAGCCAAGGCACACCTGGTCCTCTGTGGCTTCCTATATCCAGGTCCATGGCGAGAAGCAGCTGCTCCCCCAGCTCCCACCCTGGCTAGGCAGCTCACCAGGAGGTGTGAACACATGGTACAGGAGAGAATGGGCTTCACACCAGCTGTCACGCCCATCTGCAGACCTCTGACACCCTTTCCATGCCTCGGCCTATTTCCCTGTTTATAAAATGTAGGCTAGGTGGTGTCTTGGGGCTCAGTTGGGTAAGGTCTGACTGACTAGGTTTGGCTCAGATCATGATCGCAGGGTCATGGGATTGAGCCCCACATCCACACTGGATGCCCATAAATAAACTGATTTAAAAATATGGGCAAAAAAAATAATAATAATAAATAAAAAAAAATGTGGGCAAGGCCATGTGTGGGCAGATGAACACACCTGCCTGCCATAGCACAGGTGCTTAATCAATGCTAGATTCTACCTTTCTTTCTAGCCACAAGGTAAAAGATAAAAGAGGCCACCCACAAGCCAGAACCACACTGACCAGGGACGCTGGGCTTGCATCTGGGCATCTAGGTGGCAGGGAAGATGTGGGGTGGGGTATGGCCGGGGACTAGGGTGCTGTAAGTGCTGGAATTTTCCCAGGAACAAAGCACTATGAGCACATCTCTTCACTCTGCACTCACATTGGAATCTTCTGAAATCCGAATACAGCCAGCGCCCTGCTGCCAGTCCCTCCTGGCATCACTCTGGTGTGGCCCTGCAAACTCTTCTCCAGGAGAGGCAACACCCAGGGAGGAGTCATAGCCTGACTGGCCCAAAACACCTGGGGCAGCTCAGGGTCAGTCCAGGAGTGGCTCAGGGTCGACCCAGGGTCAGCTCAGAGTCAGCCCAGGGTCAACTCAGGGCCAGTTCTCAGGGTCAGCTCAAGGCCAGTGCCCCAGTAGCCCCTGCTCCTCCTTCCCTCAGTTGTTTTCTCTGCACAGGCTCCACAAGGGGTGGAGGCTCCCCTCTCCACAAGGGATGGCGAACACATAAAACCCAGCAAGCCTGGGGTTCACTCGCTCTTCTCATTGCTCATGTTGTTGTGCCCAGTGGCTGTGGACTCCCCTCTCCTTGCAGTCTGTACCTGGTTAGATGGGATCCTTCACCAATGGCAGGCCAGATGGGAAAGCCATGGTTTAATGCATAGACGTGTTACCATCTCTGTCATACGGTTCCACGGATGCTCTCTGGCCTCAGCTCTCGGACCCACAATAAGGTAGTAAACGTGCAGAGCATTTGATGACAGCAACAGCTCGCTGCTGTGCCTTCACACACTGGCTGCTCACCCACTTCCCCCAGCAGGAAAAATTTATCCCCAACCTTCCCGGTGGCTCTGCCACTCCCACTGTCCCAGGTCTTAGCAGACCCATCCAGTAAGTTCCTGATCCAGACTCACGGAAAGGCCTTTCTCAGCTTCCAGGGTGGCAGGTACATAATCTGTGAGGTGGCACCCAAGGCGAGAAACCTGTTCACAAGGCCAACTAGCCTGGAGACAAGGGAAATCTGATGGGAGATTCGTCATAGTGCAAGGCACCAACAGTAAAAATGAGCAACCATAACACTGGAGAAGAACAAGTAAAAAGAAGAAAAAAATCCCTGCCATGGAAAAAGGATAGTGCTTATGACGAGACAGCTGCCACCTCCTGCTGTGGGACAGAGGAGCCCAGCGACCCCACCCTCAGGCTCTGGGATAGAAGGGCCTGTCCCCTCAATCTACAACCTGCATTCAATATGTTGACAACAGGAGAAGGAAAGGAATAATGTCAGAGACAGAGGGATGAGAATGGTCACTGCTCACACACTCCTGTGAACATGCATGAGCAAAATCAGGTCCTGAAATCAACTGTCTGCAGTGGATTTTTCTATCTCTGGATTTTCAAGCCCTTTTTGGTTTCCTACCTAAATTTGGTTACTTTATAATATTCCTTTTTTTGTGTAAAAACTCCTTCAAAACATTTTTTCTGGGATCCCTGGGTGGCGCAGCGGTTTAGCGCCTGCCTTTAGCCCAGGGCGCGATCCTGGAGACCCAGGATCAAATCCCACGTCAGGCTCCCGGTGCATGGGGCCTGCTTCTCCCTCTGCCTATGTCTCTGCCTCTCTCTCAATGTGTGTGACTATCATAAATAAATAAAAAAACAAACATTTTTTCTAATATATCTGTTTAGTCCCTATTTAAAGACCATGTAAGTCCCTCATCCAAACTTGTAAGACCTTTTACTGAACTAACCATATCTATTACTTTAAAGAGAAATAAATTATATAGTACTTAGAAAGAAAAATAAATGAAAATAAACAGAATAAAACCCTCAAAGAAACCAAAACTCAAACTGAAAATCTAAGTTAGGAATCTTCCAAATGTACTGTATATAGTAATAAACAAGTTATAGCAAAATCATACAATTCTGAAAGAAGTACTAAAATGTGATCCAAGGCACATCAGAATTGTTTTCAAGTAAGTTAACTTGAATGTCCAGACCAAGACAGCATCAATGTCGCCTGGCTGGCCCCAATAATACCATCTGCCGGCTCACACATCTGGCTGATACAAATGCTCTCTCAATACTAATTGTCGACTTCTCTAACCCACAAGTCAATTGGATATTCAATATGACGGAACACAAAGCATTTGCAAATTAGTTTGCATTTTGAAATTTAAATATTTAAACCCAGGATCCCTGGGTGGTGCAGTGGTTTGGCGCCTGCCTTTGGCCCAGGGCTCGATCCTGGAGACCCGGGATCGAATCCCACATTGGGCTCCCGGGGCATGGAGCTTGCTTCTCCCTCTGCCTATGTCTCTGCCTCTCTCTCTCTCTCTCTCTATCATAAATAAATAAAAATTTAAAAAAAAATTTAAACCCAGAACTGCAGAGTGCTTTGAGGTTGAAGTACCAAGTGCATGGTGGAGCCAGATGGCCTGCGTGCACACAGTGCAACCATGGAGAGAATACACCAAAGGAACAACAGTAATACTGTAGCAGCAGGACCGGGACCTGGCTGGTCATACCCACTCAAGAAGATACGACCTCAAGAAGATACGGCTTCTTTCGAATGTGGATTTTACACTCACCTAAACCCTTCTGCCCGGGGTTCTTAGCGAAGGTAAAGGTAAACTGATAAAAATCCTTAAACTTCACTGTGTCCTTCAGTTCCTGCTCTAATCTTGGCAGAAGGGCTCTCAGCTTCTCCGTGCTGTCACACCTGCAAATGAGAGACAGTGCTGTGGAGGTGGGAGACGTCCCGTGCCCCCCAGCGCCTTGGCCCCCTGGTGCCTGCTGCAGATGCCTGCTGGCTGCAGCACCCTGAGGCTTGTCCCAGTCCCCGGGAGGTCAGAGGCAGGAGGCAGACTGCTTGTGGGCCCCCTTCTGTGGCTGGAAGGACTCCATCGTTCCAGAACTGACTGTGATGATGACAGCTGCACAGCTCTGTGAAGACACCAAAACCACTGACTGTAGACTAAGTGGGTGAACTCTATGGTATATGACTCATATCTTAAAAAAGAGGAAAAGGAAAAAATATTAAAAGGAAAAAACAAAATCCAAAGTTGCCTGCCTTCCTCTGTATGAGCTGGAATATAGATGCAGTTTCACCCACACACAGGCCAGGGCCCTGGGATGATGGATGGGCAAATCAGAAAGACTCCAACTCCTCTGTGACCTTGGGGAGCCAAGCCACTCTGCCAGCCCACAAGCTCCTGATCTTGGACTCACTTCCTTACAGCAGGCTAGAGTAAAAAAAAACCAAGTATGATAAAACATAACTCCATTGCTTTAAAATTGGGTTTTCTGGGTTGGGGAAGGGGGAAATAGGTTGAGGGGATTGAGTACACTTATCATAATGAGCACTGAGTCATGTAGGAGTTGCTGATTCACTATGTGGTACACCTGGAACTGACATAACACTACATTACTTATACTGGAATTGAAAAAGTAATTAAAAAGAAGTAAATAGAAAAATTGGATTTTCCTTCAAAAGGTCAACAGCCTTTGAGAATATTAAAAAGCCTTGGTGCGCCTGGGTGGCTCCATCAGTGAAGCGTCTGCCTGGCTCAGGTCATGATCCTGGGGTCCTGGGGTTGAGCTCCATATCAGGCTCCCTGCTCAGGTGGGGAGAGTGGGAGGCTGCTTCTCCCTCCCCCTTGCTTATGCTCTCTCCCACATGCACTCCCACTTCCAAATATTTTTTTAAAATTTTAAAAATTAAAAAAGAATATTAAGATTTTAAAGCAGAAATCTAGAATAGTGAAACCCTAAAATTGTCTTTTTAATTTTGACTACCCAGCAAGGAAAAGGATAACAGCCATGCTTCACTGATGAATGCACTCCGTCAGCAGGGCTTAGAGAGGGCAGAACACCTGTGTCAGCACCCATGAGCCCAGGAGGCACAGGTGTACAGCTCTGGGGACCCATAGCAAGGGTGGTGGGGCAGCACCTGGGGCATGGCAGCGCTGTCCCATCCTGGCTTCTTCCCTGTGGGGCCACCATGTGCTCTGCTGTGTGCTTGCATCCCCCCACTCCTTGAAGGTCAGCTACCTGGTCTCTGAACTTGATAAATAGGAACTCGTGGTATTGTGTGCTCCCCATTCTGTCCCACCAGTCTATTTTTCTCTGTAGTAGTGCCACATAGTCTTAAATACTGCAGCTTGAAAAGTAGAGAGTAAATCTTCCCATCTTGTTCTTTAGGAACTGCTGGCTATTCTTGACTGCATTTTCATATAAATTTTAAATCCATTTGTCAAGGGGCACCTGGGTGACTCAGGGGTTGAGCGCCTGCCTTTGGCTCAGGTCATGATCCTGGGGTCCTGGATCTTTTTAAAAAAAAGATATAATAATAATAATAATAATAATAATAATAATAATAAAGATATATAATAAATATATTTATTTATTTATTCATGAGAGTCATAGAGGGAGAGGCAGACACAAAGGCAGAGGGAGAAGCAGGCTCTTTGCAGGAAGCCTGATACAGGACTTGATCCCTGGACCAGGATTACACCCTGAGCTGAAGGCAGATGTTCAACCGCTGAGCCACCCAGGCGTCCCAATAAATACATATCTTAAAAAAAAAATCTATTTGTCAAATTACACATACAAATACACATAACACTACTTATTGCGGTTTTGATTCATATCACACTGAGAGTATAGATATATTTAGGGATAAAATACTGACTGTCCCAACCTATGAATGAGGTTTATATCTCTATTTATTCAGGTATCCTGCCTCTCAGTGAGTTGTTTTCTCTATGGGGAGGTAGTACACACCTTTAATTAGATTTATCCTAGGTGTTTTGTAGTTTTGATATTACTGAAAATGACATTTTTAAAATTCACTTTGCTTTGTTGTATTGTTGCATTCAGTGTTCTAAAATAAGATTGATTTTTGTTTGATCTTGGGTCCTGCAGTTTAGCTAAACTCACTTATTGATTCAAATATTTTATCTGTGGATCAGACCAGCTAACACCTCCTGTTCAATGCTGAATAAAAGCAGGCTTTCGTGTGGCAGTTAAGTATATTTCCACAGGATTTGGCAGGAAAAGGGGGGTGGTCAGTTTGAGGATTTTTTTTTTGAGGTATTTTTTTTTTTTTAAGATTTTATTTATTCGGGGGATCCCTGGGTGGCGCAGCGGTTTGGCGCTTGCCTTTGGCCCAGGGCGCGATCCTGGAGACTCGGGATCGAATCCCACGTCCGGCTCCCGGTGCATGGAGCCTGCTTCTCCCTCTGCCTGTGTCTCTGCCTCTCTCTCTCTCTCACTGTGTGACTATTATAAATAAATTTTAAAAAATTAAAAAAAAAAAAAAGATTTTATTTATTCATGAGAGACACACAGAGAGAGGCAGAGACATAGGCAGAGGGAGAAGCAGGCTCCCCACCAGGAGCCTGATGTAGGACCCAATCCTGAACTTCAGGATCATGCCATGAGCTGAAGGCAGATACTCAACCACTGAACCACACAAGTGTCCCGAGGATCCTGGTAGTCTTGGTTTGTGCTAAATTCCCTTTAAAAAAAAAAAAATGAATGGAATGGAATTTTATCAAACTCATTTTATATACTGCGATAATCCCTTTTCTATTGTTACGGTGATAAATTATGTTGATTGGACTTTGTAATGTTAAACAAACCTCAGAATCCTGGACAATAACAAACTTTGTCATGATAAATTATCCTGGTTTTTGGTTGACTTGTTTTGGAGGCTGGGTATAGTTTGCTGATAATTTCTCTAAGATTTCTGCATCTTATGCATCTTTTGATTCTTATGAGAGTATCCAATAAATTTCCACTCTCAAAATATCCTTTTGTGCTCACTTCAGCAGCATACATACTAAAATATCCTTTCCAGGTTTTGTTATCCGGTTGTGTTGGCCTCAAAACAAATTACAAAGTGTTTCTTCCTGTACAATTCTCTAAAGAGGTCATGCCAAATTAGTGTTATTCCCTTCATTAAATGTTTTGTAGGATGTGCTGGTGCACCAATCCTGGTCAATTGTTTTCTTTTTGAAAAGAAATATTTTTAGATCACAGCTTCAAATTTTCTAAGAGTTATTATGTGTCCATTTCAGTAAATTGTATTTTTTTTTTTTTTTAGTAAACTGTATTTTTAAGACAATTCCTCTCTTGCATCGTTTTCACATTTACTAGCATAAAGTTGTTGGTAATATATTCTTATCTTTCGGGGCAACTGAGTGGTTCAATGGGTTAAGCATCTCTTCAGCTTAGGTCGTGATGCAAGGGTCTTGCTCATCGGGGAGCCTGCTTCTCCCTCTCCCTCTGCTTCTGCCCCCAACTCGTGCTTGCCCCCTCTTTCATATAAACAAAAAATACATATTTGTTTCTTTTAACGTCTATAGGGTCTATAGTGATGTCTCCCTTTTCATCCCATATTGGTTGTTACTTTTATAATTCTTTTCAAACAGCAAGCCCTGGGTTTATGGATCCTTTCTATTGACTTCATTTCTATTTCCTTAAATTACTGACTGTTCAAAAAAATTAGTTCCTTCCCTCTACACTCTTTGAGTTTAACTTCCTGCTCTTTTTCTACTTCTTGAGGTGGATGCTTTGCTTATTGATTTTCAACTCTTCCTTCTAAAATATGGATTTAGGAAGTTAAATCCTACAAGTCTTCACGTGAAGCATTTCCTTCATCATTCAAAATATTTTCTAATTTCCACTGTAACTTCTTCTTATTCCCAAGGGTAATTCAGGAGTATACAATATTTACAAATATTTCAACCTACCAAGTTATCTTTTTGTTATATTTCTACCTTAATTGTATTGTGGTCAGAAAACATAGTCTGTATCATTTTAATTCTTTGAAATTTGTTGCAACTTAGTTTATGGTCAATATTTATAAATGGCCTACTTTTCTGAAAAGAATATGTATTCTTCAACATCAAAGCCAATGTTCTAAGCATGTCCATTAGGCCATTTATTGTGCTGTCCAAATCTCCTATTTCCTTATGGATTTTTCACCTGCTCATTCTATCAGTTGGTAAGGTATGTGAGAATTCCCTGCTTTGACAAATTGCAGATTTATATCTTTCTCTTTGTAGTGTTTATTTTTGCTTTAAATAATCCAGTGCTTTCCATGTGAAATAAACCGTTCCTCATTATGAAATGTCCTTCATTATCTCTAGAATTACTTTTTGCCTTAGCTTATTTTAATATTGACATAGCCACACCAAAATTTTCTTGTAAATATTTGCAAATTACATCAACTTTTATCCTTCAAATTGTTGTGTCCTTATGTTTTTTTTTTTTAATTTTTTTTTAATTTATTTATGATAGGCACACAGTGAGAGAGAGAGAGAGGCAGAGACACAGGCAGAGGGAGAAGCAGGCTCCATGCACCGGGAGCCCGACGTGGGATTCAATCCCGGGTCTCCAGGATCGCGCCCTGGGCCAAAGGCAGGCGCCAAACCACTGCGCCACCCAGGGATCCCTGTTTTAATTGTATCTATTGTAAACAGTATATACAATAATTGAGTTGATTTTCTACAATCCATCCAATATTTAGTTTACTTACATTTAATGTAATTATGTAAATGCTGACACATTGGCTTTAAATCCTCCATTTTATCACGTGCTTGCTATTTGTCCTGCATTAAGCTAATTTTCCTTAAGTTTTTTCTCACATTCTTTTAAATTTTTTCTTCCTTTATTCCTGCTCCTTTAGAAATTATACATGAATCACACATCCTCTACCATTTTTATCATAATTTTAACACACACACAGAGAGCAAGTATCTTTTCCCACTATTCTGTCTTTTTAACGGTATGTCTTGTTAAACAGAGCTCTTAACTGTGATGAAGTCCAATTTATAATTTTTTCCTTTGTGGCTAGTGCTTTTTATATCTTCTCCAAAAAAGTGTCTCTTAATCTGTGTTTTAACAAATCTTTCTCCCATGTTTTGTCTAGAACTTTACAATTTTAAGATTCTTGTACAGGTGTGTAATCCAGCCCATATCCATTGCTAGGGGTGGCCCATGCATGCTCTGAAGCAGGGACTGAGGTGACATGTTCTCAGGCTCTCCTGGTTACTTCCGTATCAGCTATTGAAAAGATTCTTCTTTCCCCACTGAAATATAAAACTTGACGAACAGTCTTTAAGCAGATAAAAAAAAGTACGAAGAGGGACACCTGGGTGGCTCAGTGGTTGAGTGTCTGCCTTCAGCTCAGGTTGTGATCCTGGAGTCCTGGGATCAAGTCCCTCATCGGGCTCCCCACAGGGAGCCTGCTTCTTCCTCTGCCTATGTCTCTGCCTCTCTGCCTCTCTCATGAATAAATAAATAAAATCTTAAAAAAAAAAGTAGGAATACTTCACTACTTCATTTCAAAACTTACCTAATGCTACAATAATGAAGCCTGTGTGCTTGCAGGGTAAAGGATAAATAGACCCACTAAATACGATAGAGTCCAGAAACATATCCACTATATGGCCAATTTCTTGTTTTTACAAAGATGCCAAGGAATTTCATAAAGTTTACTCAGTTCACTTATGAATCCACAAGCCCTCAAAGAAAGGGTGTAGGATTAACTGTTAAAGGCAGATATTCCAACCACTGTCAAGAGTTAATAGCCAGGAAAACGTGAAAAATAGCAATAGAGCAGAAACAAAACCAAAGGATTTTTTAGTGGTGTTTAGACTATAACAGTCTCTTACATCTCTAAAAGCACTTAAGTTATCTGTAAAATATAGTTTACTGTCACGTTAACAATACTTAACATACAGCACTTTAATATTTACAAAGTGCTTTCCCCTTTAACTGCCCTGTGAGATGTGAAGAGAAGCACTATCAATCAGCACCACCTACAATCTTAAATTATATTCTATACATTCCATAGAAGAAAGCATGAATTTATCTAGCACAGTTTGGGAAGATTCATACTCAAAATCTTTAAAATATGTTTTTTAATTTATAACACTTAGTAGAATAATAGACAGGAATTTTTAAAATTCACCAGTACAGCATATTTTTAGATAATGCCTAAGAAATGCCAGTAAGTGTTTTTATAAGAGGTACTTATTTCCAAAATCTCCCCCTTGGGTAGGTTTTAGTGGATGGGATAAATGGTAGTACAATGCCAAGTGAATGCTGCTTTAACAGGTGTCTTCCGTTCCAAAATCCCCTGTAATTCACCTAGTTTTTCCTGAGTGCAGAGAACACGAAGCAACATGCTGTTATGCCATTGTCACAGTGATGTCTTTTGTTTGATTTTATACAACCACCAGCAATACAATAAGTCTTATAGAGTTTATCATCTAAACAGATAAAGCCAATAAATACAACAGATTCATCAGTTTAGTGGAAAACATATGTTCCATTTTTTCTCCTGGGATGTTGTTAAGTACATGCCTTTAAGAACATGTTTACCTTAGACTTTTAAGCTCCTTCAGCAGCTAAAAATAAGCTAGTTTAAGTTGTCAACATCAAAATATCACAATATCAGCAAGTCAAGCATGCTGGTATTTATACCACCCCATGAAATAGCTCAGGAAGCTTAATGATCAAAAGGCATTTATGTTACATGCTTTCATTGACTTCTCTGACTTATCTGACAAGTGAGAAACATTTTAAGTTATTAAGGAAGCTTTCATCCCAACCCTGGTTGGGATAGGTAGAACAGAGAAGTGTTACAAGCAAAAAACCAAAATGGTATTTTATTAATGTTTAACATAGCAACACAAAAAAATTACACATTCAGGATAAAGTATCATGAAATAAATTGAATGGCTGAAAACAAACAAAAACACCCTGATATTTACTGTGAATTCAAAACAGGAAGGATAAAAATTAAAAAGAAAAAGTAAATTACAAAAGGGATTAATCTAAATAAAAATATTAAATAAAACTCTAACCAGAATTTAAAAGGAAACCAAAACCTTAATAGAGCGGAGGCAAAGAAAATGTATAAGAAAATAAATTAACTTGAAATTAATGTTCACAGGCTGTTGAAAAATAATTAATGTTGAAAGCATTTTCCTTTTTGAAAAAGTTTAAAGTGAGACCAATTTACTTACCCAAGCTCTGTCATGCCATCTACAAACTCCTTTTTGCTAAATTCACATTGTGTCGCTGCCTTGAATTTCCATGCTATAACCAAAACGCTGACACTGGCAGGATCAAGGCTCAAGTCATCACAAAACTGTTGAATCCCGTCAATTCCAATTTTATTTTCATCTTGTGGGTCTACAGTGAAAATCAAGAGAGAAAGAAATTATGCTGTTTTGAAAAGTACCACTAATGGGTGGTTAGAGTCCAATCCCTAGCAAGTATGATACATCAATCAGTGGACCACAATTTTCTACTGTATATGAGACAGCAACAAATAATTTATTCAAAAAAAAAAAAGCCCTATTTTAAAAATCTAGGTCACTGGAATTTAGGGGAAGAAAGAATCACTATAACTTCTTTGAGAAGAGTTCATCATTAAGAAAAAAATTAATTTCCATAAAGTAAAATAAATATTCAAGTTTACACAATTCTAGTTTGCCCAAAGGCATACTGCTACAAAAAAAATACTGCATTGTGGGGCACCTGGCTGGCTCAGTCAGGGAATGCATGGCTCTTGATCTCAGGGGCATGAGTTTGAACCCCACATTGAGTGTGGAGATTATTTTAAAATTTTTAAAAATCTATAATTTAAAAAAAATACTGAATTTTTAAAGTGTTTACCATATTAAGTTATCAAAACCCTGCCAAAACAATAGAGAAACTAATGTTTTTCTTTTTTCTTTATTATTTTTTAACATTTATTTATTTATTTATAAATATTTTATTTATTTATGCACGAGAGACACAGAGAGAGAGCAGAGACATAGGCAGAGAGAGAAGCAGGCTCTTCACAGGGAGCCCGATGAAGGACTCGATCCCCGAACTGGAATCATACCCTGAGCTGAAGGCAGACACTTAACCGCTGAGACACCCAAGCATCCCATTTTTTAATTTAAATTCAATTTGTCAACATATAGTATAATACCCAGTGATCATCTCATCAAGTAGTGTTTTTCTTTTTTCTTTTTTAAGATTTTTTATTTACTTATTAAAGACACACACACACACACAGAGGCACAGGCAGAGAAGGCAGAGGGAGAAGCAGGCTCCGTGCAGGGAGCCTGACGTGGGACTTGATCCCGGGTCTCCAGGATCAGGCCCTGGGCTGAAGGCGGCGCTAAACCACTGAGCCACCCGAGGTTGCCCTGTTTTTCTTTTTCTTTTTTTTTAAGATTTTATTTATTCATTCATGATAATCACACACACACAGAGAGAGAGAGAGAGAGAGAGAGAGGCAGAGACACAGGCAGAGGGAGAAGCAGGCTCCATGCAGGGAGCCCGACGTGGGATTTGATCCCGGGTCTCCAGGATAGCACCCTGGGCCAAAGTCAGGCGCCAAACCGCTGCGCCACCCAGGGATCCCCGCTGTTTTCCTTTTTAATGTGATTTCATTTGCTATAACTTTAATACTACTGTACAGCATTTAGGCTTCAAAATCATTAAGTTCATTTATCCACATTTAACGCCTTAGAAATTCAGTCCTCCCTAACTCCCATTTCTGGTCTAGAAATGAAATTAAGGAACTTAGCATTTCTTCAACAGAAAATCAAATAATAAAGTCTCAGCAAGACCTCAAATAGAAAAATCTCAGCAAGACCTCAACAAACTAGGTCTAATAAAAATGCATGTATACTAATATCTTATCATGACATAAACATTAATTCTGTTGGTTTAGAAGGTACAAAGAGAAAATTTGTAGCTTCTTTGCTTAAATGAAGATTAGGTGTGATAAACTTTTCTTCCATTGTATAACATTTAACTTTGGTCATTTAAGTACTACGTACTACATTTTAATAGACATGTTACCAAAATAAAAGAAAATGTATGCCATAAAGTAAACAAATGAAAGTACAGGCTTCCTCACAGCCTCTTCTCCTGCATAACGATAGAGTAGTGTCCCACGGGCTTCTGCTTCTCACCCAGCTTCCTCATCAATGCTCCCAAAGGTACTGATCTTCAGGAGAGCAAAACTGCCCTCAATGCCCTCACCTCATAAATTTCACTTGCAATAATACTATTTGAAAGTAATTTTCAGAGGACTCATTCCTTCGTATACATGAACATAAACCAGCATATTTGTCAACAGTCTTTGAACAATTTATTTCTAGAGTCCAAGATGATAGCACAATATGTCTACTTTAAATGACAAGATTTGCATGAATAAAGTTAAATGATGAAAGGATGCTGTTTAAAGAAATAATTATCACATAAAGTATTTTTTTAAGGTGCTAGATATATTTGAATCACTTCAGAAATCTGCACAGCATGTGATTCACAATTAGCTCCACAATTACCTTAGCCAACAACACTGAAAGCATATTACAGCTTATTAAAAATGATTTTTCATTTTGGAAAACCAATGCTCATTTTTCAAATACAAAGCTGATCTTTCCACCACAGAGTATGTTTCTGTGCCAAAGATTTTTAAAAAATATAATTTTTCATCTATCTTCAGATCTAAATAGGTTAAAAAATACACATGGTATTTTCAAAAGTAAAAAATGAAAATGATACATATATAACACATAAACAAGAATTAAAGCCAAGGAGTTATACTTGTTTGGGTTAATACTTGTTTAAATGAGGTTGCTGTTTTTGTTTTTAAATTTGGGAAATAAAGTTAACCTTAGAAAGTGCTAGAAAGAAAGAAAAAAACTCTTGAATAGTAGTTGACTCTCCAAAAGCCACACAGATTGACATCTGATATGGAATATGACAGCCTGCTGAGTGATCTGGGTCTGTGCATATTTGTCACACAGATGTATCTGTGCAGCACAACCATATTTCAATAGGGAAAGCTCCATTCTAAGTGCTGATTTTAATTTTAAAAACAACTGTCCCCAATTTATAACACAAAAGTTTCTTTGCTAAGAGCTTTTCCCCAGCTTGGCCTCCCCAACAGCCAAGGTGCTATAGGGCCACCTGGCTACACCGCATTAACAGAAAGTCAACTTTTACCCTCATGTCAGATCAACTTCTTGATGAGCCTTTTTACTCTAACCCTCCAACTCCCGGGGCAGCGTGGGGGCCACCAGTGGTGGCTGGGACAGCCACCTCCCAGCTGGCCGAGCACACCTCAGACCCTGCCTGGAACGGGGTGTGTGTGTGTGTGTGGGGGGGTGACGGGACACCACAGCTCCACCCGCAGACCCCACTCCTGGCATCCCACCCCAGCCATCAATGGTCCCTGGTCGAGGTCCCCTTGACACAGACTGGAGTACAGAATCCTGCTCCCCGGAGACAGTGAGGGGCTGTCTGCCCTGGCCCCCACCAGCCCCAGCCACCTCTCACCTCTTACCTTTGTACCTGTTGTAAAGCTGCTCCAGCTTCTTCTTGTCCACGGCGTCTCTCATGGGCTCCTTAAGGAAGAGAGTCTAGCTTTCGTAAGAAGCGGTCTGTGGCCACACCTAGTTTCCACTCATCCTGCGTGACGCAGCAGAGGGCACGTCTGTGGCCAGCCCGAGGAAACACCATAAACTGGGGGCCTGTTCTGAAATGCCCTGTGCATACGCTTTGGACGCAGTAGGAGGAGGAAAGCCAACACCACTGGTCCGGAGCTTCGTTTCAGCGTCCCATCCCCATGGCTGGTGGTCTAACTGGACTTCGTTGTTTCCCACCAGGTCAGCTTCACTGCAGAACCTCGGCACAGCATGCCTCGTGCCTCATCAGTTGAGGAGACCACACAGTCTCCCGGAAGCTGAAATGACAGCACTCTAACAACAAATAGGCGAAGTGTAACCTTCAAACAACTCTGAGAATCAGTATTTTGTACAAAATACATTTGATCCCTACCCACTTCAATTAGCACAAGATACATTATTTTTTCCCCAAGTCTTAGGAAAATCCCTCTTTTACACACACATGTAGCCCCCGATACAGCGAGGCTGGGTGTCTGACCAGAGGCACAACCGTATCACCACGGCCCATCTGCAGCGTCTGCTTCGGCTTCCATTAATTTCAAGCTCTAATGAACAGAAGAGCTCTACAGTGTGTAAACATCAATGTTTTAAGTTTTCCCAGTTTAAAATCAGCCACACTGATGAAAACACATACAGGTAACTAAGAATAGAGTTAACCATCAGTTACAAAAGTTCCCAAAGCAGCTGTAAGAAGCCTGTTATGACTAATTGTAATAATATGAATAACAGAAATATCTGTATACACTAGACAGAAATAAAATGGAAAAATAGGGCAGAGGCTGTGGGAGGTAGTAAATAGCAAGACTGCCAAGTAACTGTACTATATATAGTATGTAAGGAAACAAAATAGCGCTCTGTACTTCCAGATATGGGATGGTTAGGTTCAGATTTATCTAAGGTAACCTGATGAAAAGGACACCAGAAATGAAAGTGACTCACTGGCCTCTGTAAATCAACACACTCTAATCTGCTAGATGTTAATGTTCTACACAAACACTGCACAAAAGAACATAAGGGGGAGAGTTTCACTTGAGACAATTTATACTCAATCATGTTCAGAAAAGGACAGGACAGTACATAAAACCCCACAGAGTAAACTCCAGCTTACAGAAATATGTGAATGGAGTACAGCATGCTGACGGAGAGACTGAGCAGGAAGATGCTGGAAAGTTGGGGGTGACACCCAGACACACACACCACATCTAAGAGCCAAATGGGGGCTAAAAATTAGCTCTTAGCTTCCCTGGTGCCAAACCAAAGATGAAAACAGAATTAGTCAGGAAAATCTGTTTCATAAGATTTAAAAACCTACCAGTGGCCCAGAAGTGGCACAGCTCCTCCTACTGAAACCCAAAGGAGTGGCCCCTGTGGCCACTCATAGAAGGACATTGCCCTGTGCCCTTCCTGCTCTTAGAAACAGACTAGCCCCTCCCACAATGCCCACAGCCAATGGCAGAGTAAGCTTCCAAAGGTGCTTCTTACAGCATCCCTCACTGCTGATGCCAAAAGAGCAGAGTGGAATTCAGCAAACACAATACAGTTCAAACACACCGCTCCCCAGGTATGGTCTAGGCAATCCAGGGTCCTGAGACCTCTCAGGGGTTCCACCGTGACAGAACTATTTTCACAACAATCCCATTATCTGCCACTCTCAAGCTCACTGGAATGCAGCAGAGGCCACATGACTTGTGATCCTTGCAAAAATGTAACACAAATATGCAATAGGCTGATTATTGTTATTTTTAAGTATACAAATATTTTTAAACTTTTTATTTTATTTTTTTAAAGATTTTATTTATCCATGAGAGACAGAGAGAGAGAGAGAGGCAGAGACACAGGCAGAGGGAGAAGCAGGCTCCATGCAGGGAGCCTGATGTGGCACTTGATATCAGGACTCCAGGATCACGCCCTGGGCTGAAGGCAGGCGTTTAACCGCTGAGCCACCCAGGGATCCCCCTTCACTGTAACTTCTAATATGGTAAATCCGGATGGCTACCATTCACATAAACAAAATCTCTTTGGGGCTCCAGTAATTTTTTAAAGTGCATACCAAACCCAGTTCTATTAAGTGTCAGAACTGCTGATGTAGACACAGGGCACTGACCTTTTGGCTACTAGGAACAATGACTGCTGATCATTTGGGATCTTGTGTCCCTTCTAGAAACTGGTGAAAATCATGGATCCTTTCTTAGGCAAAACATGTGCTTTTTGCATAAGATTTGGGGGTCTTCACACAGATTATTGAAGCCTATCTATTGGTTCCTCAGAGATGAAGGGAAGGTGAGGCTCAGGTTATAAGGCCCAGAATGGTAGATGAGGGGCCACTGGTCTCTGCTGCAGCTACTCAGTTCTGTAATGTGTAAATGACAGATGGGCTGTGTACCAATAAAACTTTATTTTACACACATAGGGATTGAGCCTGCAGGCTGTAGTTTCTAATTCTGATCTAGACTATAGGGAGATATATACAATATATATTCAGTACCCTATTTCCTGAAACTGAGCCACTGAAAAGAACTAGACAAAGAGCTCAGTTATACTTTCTGGTAAGATCAAATTAACTAAATCAGAACAGATCCCATATGTTTTGACAATTAGCTGACAAAAGGGAAGCAGCATCTTTAATGAAGGTGATGGCTTCCCCACGGGAGGGTGGGTAAAGCCAACAGCTCCCTCAGCAACTAAAGGGGAGATAGATGTCCAAAACCCACCCGGCGCATCACTAGCAATGCTCATGACATCTGTATGATGAAAACTGCCATCAGTGCTCGATTTAAAATTCTGTCATGGTTTTAAAATAAAATTTGGTGTACAAACACAATATACACTGAAATTCAGCCATAAAAAGGAACAAAGTACTGAAAAATGGTACAATGTAGATGAAGCTTGAAAACATTATACCAAGTGAAGGAAGTCAGACATGAAAAACTAGATGTCGTATGATTCCATTTATATGAAATGATAGGCTGATAGGCAAATGCATAGACAGAAGGCAGACCAGTGGCTGCCACGGACTGGGGGGGAGTGGGAAATGGGCAGTGACTGCTTAATGGGCATGGGCTTTCTTTGAGGATCTTGAGATGGTTTGGAACTAGACAGAGGTAGTGGAAGCACAACATTGTGAATGTCTTCAACACCACTAAGTCGTACACTTTAAAATAGCTGATTTTGGGATTCCTGGGTGGCGCAGCGGTTTGGCGCCTGCCTTTGGCCCAGGGCGCGGTCCTGGAGACCCAGGATCGAATCCCACGTCGGGCTCCTGGTGCATGGAGCCTGCTTCTCCCTCTGCCTATGTCTCTGCCTCTCTCTCTCTCTCTCTCTCTCTGTGACTATCATAAATAAATTTTTAAAAAAATTTTAAATAGCTGATTTTATATTATGTGGATTATGCTTCAAAAAAATTCCAGTATCATACTCTTAAAACCTCTAAGATTAATCAACACAGTAGCATACTGTTAGGCAACTGAATTATTATTTTTTAAAAGATTTTATTTATTTATTCATGAGAGACACAGAGAGAGGCAGAGGCAAAAGCAGGCTCCCTGCAGGGAGCCCGAAGTAGGACTCAATCCCAGGACCCCAAGATCACGACCTGAGCCTAAGGCAGACACTCAATCACTGAGCCACCCAGGCGCCCCAGTAACTAAATTCTTTTACCAGCATCACATGCTGATGAATTCACGCCAGGTAAACGTTCTCTGGTCTTGAGGTGAATTCCTGATAATCACCTCTTGAAGCTTCTCCTAACACATGACAAAATATCAACAGGGTAAAGAAGAATACTCTCTGAAAACTCTAGAAAGAGGTCTAAGTGTGTATGGAGCAAACCAGGCAAAGGGGCTTGACCTGTTACTATGGAAGTTACACAGTGGGCAGCAGGACAGATGGAGAAACTGACAGTCCCTCCTCCATCTATTCCCGGTGCCTCATGGGTCACCAGGTGCTCCTTCCGCAAGGGTAGCTAGCGGCAGCTGTGGGTCTAGGCTTGGCCAACAACAGTCCCTGGCCAGAATGAAAAGGAAGGGGATTCTCAACAAACAAGCAACATTCGATGTTACCCCTTACTGGTTTCTCCAGAAAGTAACCATGATTGAAACAATGGTCACTGGCTAAGTGTAAACACCACGTGTGCTTCGTGTCCAAAATGTACTGAGAGACTCAAGCTGTGATCTGTAGAAAAAGGAATTGGCGGGCAGCCCCAGTGGCCCAGCGGTTTAGTGCTGCCTTCAACCCGAGGTGTGATCCTGGAGACCCAGGATCGAGTCCCATGTCAGGCACCCTGCATGGAGCCTGCTTCTCCCTCTGCCTCTCTCTCTCTCTGTCATGAATAAATAAATAAAATCTTTAAAAGAAAGAAAGAAAAAGGAATTGGCATGAAGCTTTCTAGAACAAAATGTCTCATAACTAAAACATCCCAGGGGACAGAAGCAAGCTCTGGATTCACTTAGACGGGCTACATCCACGTAACATTAACGAAAGCCCAAAAATAGGCAGGACCAGGGTCTCTCCTTCAAGCTTTGATGGCCCTCACTACAGCTTATGCATCGAAGAAATTAACAGCAGCTTTTTGTTTTTTTTTTAGAGGGGAGGGATATTCAATTGTTTAGCTTTGTTAAAATATACAAAATTCTTAAAATAAAAATATGGACAATCTCAAATAAAATCTCTAATCTATAGGAAAAGTCTAAAACATACTCAACTGTGACTTTGAAAAAAATTGCCCACTACTACTCTGGGCACCAAGACTACCCAGATATAAAATGAAAAAAAAAAAAAGTTATTCTTTTTTTATTTTTAAAGATTTTTTAAAATTTATTTATGGGGGGTAGTGAGCACAAGCAGTGGGTAGGGGCAGAGGCAGAGGGAGGAGCAGACCCCTGCTGAGCAGGGAGCAAGAGCCAGGCTTGACCTCAGGACCCAAGTCCTAGGACCCTGAGATCATGACCTGAGCTGAAGGCAGACGCTTAACCCACTAAGCCCCCAGGGAGCTCCAAATAAGTTATTCTTGCAATGCCCTTCCACAGACACAACAAAACATTTGGTTAGCGGTAGCCACGGCAAATATTTTGATCAAATTAATTACATTAACTTTGTCACTGATTTTGTGTGTGCTTCAGTGTACAGCAGGCTGGGGTGGAGTTATATTCAAGCATCCCCTTACGCACTCTTGGCTCTTCAGCCTCTGCAGTCGCTGTGCAGCCTTCGTCCATGGTCCCCTTCCCCTTCCTTCCCTCCCTCCACCAGGCCCTGTGGTGGACTCATCCTCCTGCCTAGGCAGGGCAGCTGCTCCATGAGCGCCATGTAGAGCCTTCGGGCTGCACGGATGACCATGCTCCCTCTGGGTTTCTAAGTCCACTGTCCTTAGTCTTCTTGGTTCTGGGGCCAGCCCCTCTGTGTCTCCTTCTCTATGCTTCTTTCCCCCTGAAGTTCCACACCCTCAGGCCTCGGCTGTCCTCTACACGTTCCTCCCAGACCACTTCCCTCCTGTCTGAAGCCCTGTCACTTGCCCCTCACGACCACCAGGGCAAACATGAGCCTGTTCTTCCTGGGCCCTAGAAGATGCTTCCCGCCTGAGGACACTCCCCTCCGCAGGCTCCTGTAAGGTCACTGTTCTCTGCCAGCCTGCACTTGAGCAGGGCGCATGTTCCAGTTCCTGGGACCCGTCCTCTGCCTAGAGGGCTGCACCCTCTAGGGTGCACCTGGACAACTCAGCGCATGCAGTCCCACACTTGGTATTACTCTGCCCCAGCACTGGGCACCGCTGCCCAGCGCACCCCACAGATTCCTGGGCCTCTCCAGCCCCGAGCCCTGACCACAGCCAGAACACAGTCCAGAGTTGCCTGGTGCCCCCGCCCCAGGCCACAACAGCAGCTCCATGAATGCTGGGCCCACACCTGTGCAGCTCGCCGGCACAGGGAAACCTCGGGATTCACGGTGTAAACAGGGAACCCACCGACTCGCACGGCCTCCGCCGCATCTCAGAGCGGCTGCGCGCTTCCAGCAGCCCCTCTTCGGAGCTGCAGTCCGCCTCTCCAACCAACCCCGAGGTCCCCCCGTGCTTTCCGCATCCCCGCGCTGCCTCCCACACAGAGCAGCTCTTGCTTCGCGCGTGCTCTCTGGGGCGGCTCGCGTGGGGGCCGGGCAGGGGCGCGGACATCCGAACCGTGGTGTGACCGTCTGCCCCAACCCTTCCCCGCGCCCAGCCCTCACCTCCTCCTCCACCTGCCGCAGGGCCGTCGCTGCTACCGGGTGTCCGCGGCCCGCGAGCGCTCCCGACCGCACACACCCCGTCGCAGCGCCCCCGTCCGCCCACGGCGCCCGTGCCCTGGCCCCCCTGCTCCCCCGGGCTGCGGGCCATTCCGCCGGCAGAAGCCCACCTGCGCGCCGCGCCTCCCCTTAGCGCCCTCAGGCCCGGCCCCAGCCCGCCCAGCCGCCCCGCCCCCGGGACCTTCGCGCCCCGCGCTCCCCCATCCCCCCGCCCCCGCCCCGCCCCGCCCCGCCCCGGCCCGGCCCCGAAGCCCCAGCCCCGAGCCCGGCCGTGACCCCGACCTAAACCCCGGGCCCCAACGCCGCCGCCCCCGCGACAGTGCCCGGTACTCCCCCAGCCCCCCAGCCCCCCTGCCCCCTGCCCCGGCCCCGGCGTGCCCTCGCCCCGGGGCGCAGAAGGAGCCCGGCGGGGGACCGCGGCGTCCACCACCTACCATTCTCCCTGGCGCTTTCCCGGCTTCTCGCCGGCGCCAGCCGTCTGCGCAGGCGCCCCAGCCCCGGCAGGCCGTCCCCGCCCCCCGCGTCGGCGGCCCGGACACCCGCTCAGAGTGAGGGGGCGGGCGACGCTCAGGCTCGGCCCTGCCCGCTCCCGACGTGCACTGCGCCGCCCGGGGCCGACGGGGCCCAGGCCCGCCACCTCCTACAACTCCCGACGTGCACTGCGCCGCCCGGGGCCGACGGGACCCAGGCCCGGCCCCTGAGGGGACGCCGCCCCCTCGGGGCCGCGCCCGCGCACACGGCGTTCGGGAGAGGGCGACGGAGGGCCGGGCCCCTCTCCACGCCCGAGCGCGTCCGCGTCCGCGTCCGCGTCCGCGTCCCCGCCCCGGGGCGGGCCTGTCGGTGGTAGAGGGATGCGAGTAAGGCGCGACCCTGTCGGCTGCTCGGCTCCCGGCGCGGGAGCCCCGGACCGAGCGCGCACGTCCGCCGGCCGCGTGCAGGTGAGCGCTGCTCGCGGGTCGGGCGCGGGGTCCCGCGTCGCCGGCCTCCGCGGTCCACCCCGGGGTCGCCCTCTCCCGCGGCGCGCGCAGAGCCCGCCCCTCGGCCCCTCGGCCCCTCGGCCCCTCGGCCCCTCGGCCCCACTGCCGGTGTCTGCTCTGCTCTGCTCCCGGGGTGCGCTGCCCAGGGGGCGGCGTCACCCCTGCTCCTAGGGCGGGTGCGCCTGGCGGGGACACCCCGGGGCCGCGGTGCGGGGGCCGCCACGGGACAGCGGGACACAGCGGCCCAGGGCACCGTCAGGACTTTATCGTGGCGCCGCGGAGGCTGCGGAAGCCAGCGGGTGAGCCCTGTGCCCTGCTCCTGGCGCCCCGGGCGGAGGCGCGACGGCCCTCAGCGGTGTCCCTGGAGGGTAACGGGGGCTACGGAACAGGAGATACAGCCCCGAGCCCGCTCCTGGGGCATCCTGTACCTCCCTGCGGCTCCCGACTCCGGGAAGGCCGGGTTCAGAGCCAGCTCCCCCCCCCCCGCGAGGTCCGCGGGGGCCTGAACTCCGCAGCCACGGGGGGCCAGGAAGGGTTCTCGTGTACCCCCCGGCCCCCCATCCCGTACCGCTTCCCGGCGCAGGGACGGTGGGTGCGCCCCCCCCCACTCCCCGTACCCGCTTCCCGGCCCTAGAGAGACGGCGGGTGCACCCCCACTCCCCGTACCCGCTCCCCGGCCCTAAGACGGCGGGTGCACCCCCACTCCCCGTACCCGCTCCCCCGGCCCTAAGACGGCGGGTGCACCCCCCCCACTCCCCGTACCCGCTCCCCCGGCCCTAAGACGGCGGGTGCACCCCCACTCCCCGCACCCGCTCCCCGGCCCTAAGACGGCGGGTGCACCCCCACTCCCGTACCCGCTCCCCGGCCCTAAGACGGCGGGTGCACCCCCCCCACTCCCCGTACCCGCTCCCCCGGCCCTAAGACGGCGGGTGCACCCCCCCCACTCCCCGTACCCGCTCCCCGGCCCTAGAGACGGCGGGTGCACCCCCACTCCCCGTACCCGCTCCCCCGGCCCTAAGACGGCGGGTGCACCCCCCCACTCCCCGTACCCGCTCCCCGGCCCTAGAGACGGCGGGTGCACCCCCACTCCCCCGTACCCGCTCCCCCGGCCCTAAGACGGCGGGTGCACCCCCACTCCCCGTACCCGCTCCCCCGGCCCTAAGACGGCGGGTGCACCCCCACTCCCCGTACCCGCTCCCCGGCCCTAAGACGGCGGGTGCACCCCCACTCCCCCGTACCCGCTCCCCGGCCCTAAGACGGCGGGTGCACCCCCACTCCCCGTACCCGCTCCCCGGCCCTAAGACGGCGGGTGCACCCCCACTCCCCCGTACCCGCTCCCCGGCCCTAAGACGACGGGTGCACCCCCACTCCCCGTACCCGCTCCCCGGCCCTAAGACGACGGGTGCACCCCCACTCCCCCGTACCCGCTCCCCCGGCCCTAGAGACGGCGGGTGCGCCCCCACTCCCCCGTACCCGCTCCCCCGGCCCTAGAGACGGCGGGTGCACCCCCACTCCCCCGTACCCGCTCCCCCGGCCCTAGAGACGGCGGGTGCACCCCCACTCCCCCGTACCCGCTCCCCCGGCCCTAGAGACGGCGGGTGCACCCCCACTCCCCGTACCCGCTCCCCCGGCCCTAAGACGGCGGGTGCACCCCCACTCCCCGTACCCGCTCCCCGGCCCTAGAGACGGCGGGTGCACCCCCACTCCCCGTACCCGCTCCCCGGCCCTAGAGACGGCGGGTGCACCCCCACTCCCCGTACCCGCTCCCCCGGCCCTAAGACGGCGGGTGCACCCCCACTCCCCGTACCCGCTCCCCGGCCCTAAGACGGCGGGTGCACCCCCACTCCCCGTACCCGCTCCCCCGGCCCTAAGACGGCGGGTGCACCCCCACTCCCCGTACCCGCTCCCCGGCCCTAAGACGACGGGTGCACCCCCACTCCCCGTACCCGCTCCCCGGCCCTAGAGACGGCGGGTGCACCCCCACTCCCCGTACCCGCTCCCCGGCCCTAAGACGGCGGGTGCACCCCCACTCCCCGTACCCGCTCCCCCGGCCCTAGAGACGGCGGGTGCACCCCCACTCCCCGTACCCGCTCCCCCGGCCCTAGAGACGGCGGGTGCACCCCCACTCCCCCGTACCCGCTCCCCGGCCCTAAGACGGCGGGTGCACCCCCACTCCCCGTACCCGCTCTCCCGGCCCTAAGACGGCGGGTGCACCCCCACTCCCCGTACCCGCTCCCCCGGCCCTAAGACGACGGGTGCACCCCCACTCCCCGTACCCGCTCCCCCGGCCCTAGAGACGGCGGGTGCACCCCCACTCCCCCGTACCCGCTCCCCCGGCCCTAGAGACGGCGGGTGCACCCCCCCACTCCCCGTACCCGCTCCCCGGCCCTAGAGACGGCGGGTGCACCCCCACTCCCCGTACCCGCTCCCCGGCCCTAGAGACGGCGGGTGCACCCCCACTCCCCGTACCCGCTCCCCCGGCCCTAAGACGGCGGGTGCACCCCCACTCCCCGTACCCGCTCCCCGGCCCTAAGACGGCGGGTGCACCCCCACTCCCCGTACCCGCTCCCCCGGCCCTAAGACGGCGGGTGCACCCCCACTCCCCGTACCCGCTCCCCGGCCCTAGAGACGGCGGGTGCACCCCCACTCCCCGTACCCGCTCTCCCGGCCCTAAGACGGCAGGTGCACCCCCACTCCCCGTACCCGCTCCCCGGCCCTAGAGACGGCGGGTGCACCCCCACTCCCCGTACCCGCTCCCCCGGCCCTAGAGACGGCGGGTGCACCCCCACTCCCCGTACCCGCTCCCCCGGCCCTAGAGACGGCGGGTGCACCCCCACTCCCCCGTACCCGCTCCCCCGGCCCTAGAGACGGCGGGTGCGCCCCCACTCCCCCCGTACCCGCTCCCCCGGCCCTAGAGACGGCGGGTGCACCCCCACTCCCCCGTACCCGCTCCCCCGGCCCTAGAGACGGCGGGTGCACCCCCACTCCCCCGTACCCGCTCCCCCGGCCCTAGAGACGGCGGGTGCACCCCCACTCCCCGTACCCGCTCCCCCGGCCCTAAGACGGCGGGTGCACCCCCACTCCCCCCGTACCCGCTCCCCCGGCCCTAAGACGGCGGGTGCACCCCCACTCCCCGTACCGGCTCCCCGGCCCTAGAGACGGCGGGTGCACCCCCACTCCCCGTACCCGCTCCCCGGCCCTAAGACGGCGGGTGCACCCCCACTCCCCCCGCACCCGGTACCCACTCTCCTGGTTCTAGAGAGAGGACGGGTGCAGCTAGCTGACCGGGTTTCCTAACAGGCTCTGCTTCCACCATTCTGGGATCCGACCTTCTCAGAACATTGCTAGGTTCTGATGTTCCTGAGTTTTTAGATCCTGTCATCACCTAGGGGTAAAAGGTAGTTCGGCCTTTTCATAAACATTTTCCTGATCATTCTTTGGATCAGGGTGTCTTACCGGTTCTAAGTTTTTTCTTATATGATATCAATTTTTTAAAAAGTAATCTCAGTCAGTGGATTACTTAATGGAACATGTGTTTTTTTTGTATGTTAGGTGACATTAAGTACTCTAAAACTGCTTAGTCCCTGAGAATTGTCCTTCATTGTCTTTTTTCCTCTCTCTCTTTCCTGATTCATTGCCTAATTGTTTTACAAATTAGATATGAATCTGGGAGTTGTATTTGTTTTTTTGTTTGTTTTTGTTTTATTTTTTTTCTTTTTTTCTTTTTTTTTGGGAGTTGTATTTGTAAGATCATAAGTACTTTATCTTTTAAGAATTATATTTTTGTCATTCAATGAATAATAGTGAAAGGGAATATAAGGGAAGGGAGAAGAAATGTGTGAGAAATATCAGAAAGGGAGACAGAACATAAAGACTTCTAACTCTGGGAAATGAACTAGGGGTGGTGGAGGGGGAAGAGGGCGGGGGGTGGGGGTGAATGGGTGACGGGCACTGAGGGGGACACTTGTCGGGATGAGCACTGGGTGTTATTCTGTATGTTGGTAAATTGAACACCAATAAAAATTAATTTATTAAAAATAAAAAATAAAAAAATAAAAGCCACCTCGGGGTCCAAGTCCCTGCTCCCCTGTGTCAGGTATACTTGGACACAAGCTCGAGCTTGTAAATAAACTCTCGTGTGTTTGCATCGGAAAAAAAAAAAAAAGAATTATATTTTTGTCATTCAATTTGTTCATATTTAAAATTCTCCACAAATTATATTGTGGTAGGTTATTTTTACCGGGGAGTTAGCTTCTAAGACCTTTCCACGAGCCCTGCTTTGTTTCCTGTTCATTTCCTTTTTTTTTTTTAATTTTTATTTATTCATGATAGTCACAGAGAGAGAGAGAGAGAGGCAGAGACACAGGCAGAGGGAGAAGTAGGCTCCATGCACCAGGAGCCTGATGTGGGATTCGATCCCGGGTCTCCAGGATCGGGCCTTGGGCCAAAGGCAGACGCCAAACCGCTGCGCCACCCAAGGATCCCCTCCTGTTCATTTCCTGAATTGTTGCTGGTATCACAGAGAAATTCTAACTTTAAACTATTTCCTACAAGTGATCTTTATATTTTCCTTTTTCAGAAGAAGCTGAATAACCAGTATTGGACTTACTAGCTTTGTTCCTGCCATACCCACACTACTTGCTCTGGAATCCCCTGCACACAGCGCCAGGTGCTGCATGTGATACCAGGTCAGTACTCCCCACGCCTAGGGCCCTGCTTCAGCTGAGGGGATGGGGCTGGGGTCCCTCCAGAGAGTTGTGTTGGAGCCTGGGGGGGTTGGCCTCCGCCTCACAGACTGGCTGCACTACGAGTGTGGTGAACAAACTAGACTCTTTTTCAGTGGTTTGATCAGGAAAATTAGAAAGTGGATATGGAAGGTGCAGAGGAGGAGAGATGATGGAGCATCCTGTGGCTACACATAGGCAGAATGCTGGGAGGCAGAGCTGTGAGGTTTTCGAATTTTAGCCCATTATAGAAAATTGAAAAGAATAGAGGAGCTGCTGCTCCCCAGTCTTCCCCTCCCCATCTGCCTCCCCAGCCCCATTCCATGAAGGGACTTGAGCAACCCCAGGGCTCTAGGGCACTCTCTCAGGCCAGATGTCTAAGGAAATAGTCCCTTTACACGTCCTGCAGTCCTGTAGAGCTGAGTTAGAGGCATGTGTGAGAAATCTGAACCTGGGTGACTGCTCTGAAAAAGGTTGGTTTTAGACTACATCATTGTGTTTTGCTTTTGAGCTTTCTATGCAATAAATGATGTGATGTTTCTGCATTGCTAAAGATTTTGGACAAAATAAGAGTAATGTGATTTTTGTATGACAGTGTATTAAAGGTATTGGAAGTTTTTTTTTTTTTTTGGTTTTGTTTTTAAGTTTTTTTTTTTTTTTTTTTTATTTGAAAGAGAGAGTGGGTGTGAGCCAGGGAGGGACAGAAGGAGAGGGAGAGAGAATCTCAACTCCTCCCTGAGTATGGAGCCTGACAACAGGCTCAGTCCCATCACCCATGACATCACCCATGACCTAAGCCAAAACCAAGAGTTGGATGCTCAACAGACTGAATCACCCAGTCACCCCTAAAAGTATTGGGAGATTATTTGTTTTGTTTTTTTATTTTTTGAGTGGGCTTAATGGTGAACCCATTTGCCTTTTTATTCTAAAATGCTTAAGACATTTATTTAATATTTTTGTTCTTGATCAAATAATCTCATCAATTTGTTTTTCTCATCAATTTTAAGGTAAGTTTTGGGAATCCTGTTCTGCATTCATCAAGCAAGCAAAACCCATTAGAGATTTGGCAAACCTGTGAAGATATAGTTTAAATAATGTTGAAATATATGTAAATAGAAACCTTTGGGGTGGGTTGTATTCAGAGTACTGATTCTGCTGTTGCTTTAAACGAAAAGCAACTTTGTGTTTTACTGCAGCAGTGACATCTTTAAAGCCTTTAGTTCTGGTTTAGGGCATTTCCTAGGTTAAAATATAAAAAAACATAATCGGCGTGTTTTCCTTGTTCTGTAATGTAAATGGTGATCATTACACATTATAAGTGTTTAGTGGAAAACAGCATTTATATTGAATTTTTAAAACTTTATTTCAAGATGATTATAGATTCAAGTAGTTAAAAGAACTAATATAAGGAAATCCTGTAAATCCTTCACCCAGATTTCCCCAATGGTAGCTCCTGACAAAACATCTGGTATAAGCAGAAGACTGCATTTGTCTGATCCACCCACCTCACCCAGACGGCTTAATCCTGGTGCACGCGTGTGTGTGTGTGTGTGTGTGTGTGTGTGTGTGTGTCACGTGTGGGTTCCTGTGGCCACCTATGTGGCCAGGACACAGACCATTTCCCTCCACGGGGTCCCTCCAACTGCTCCCCTGGCCTCCCACAGCCCCATCTGCTCCCCTCTCCACAGTTTGTCATTTAACAACGCTGTGGAAAAGGAGTTGTAGAGCCCCTGTGATAGGCTGTCTTTGTACAGCCTCGCGATCCTTGAGGCTGTATCAGTGAATCAAGATACAGAAATTCTAGAGTTGCCTGGATGGCTCAGTCATTTAAGTGTTTGACTTGAGCTGGGGTCATGATCTCAGGGTCCTGGGATCAAGTCCCTGTGGGGCTCCCTGCTCAGTGGGGAGTCTGTTCCTCCCCCTCTCTCTGCACCTCCCGCTTCCCCATGCTCATGCTCACTCTTTCTTTCAAATAAATAAATACAATCTTCGGGCAGCCCTGGTGGCTCAGTGGGTTTAGCATCGCCTCCAGCTCAGGGTGTGATCCCGGAGACCTAGTATTGAGTCCCACATCGGGCTCCCTGCATGGAGCCTGCTTCTCCCTCTGCCTGTGTCTCTGCCTCTCTGTGTGTGTGTGTCTCTATGAATAAATAAATAAAATGTTAAATAAACAAACAAATAAATAAATACGATCTTAAAAAAAGATGCAGGGCAGCCCGGGTGGCTCAGCGGTTTGGCACCGCCTTAGGCCCAGGGTGTGATCCTGGAGACCCAGGATCAAGTCCTGCATCGGGCTCCCTGCATGGAGCCTGCTTCTCCCTCTGCCTGTGTCTCTGTCTCTCTCTCTCTCTCTCTGTCTCTCATGAATAAGTAAATAAAATCTTAAAAAAAAAAGATGCAGAAATTCTAGGAATTCATCCTAAAATGTACAGGATTTCCTTATATTAGTTCTTTTAATCACAATAAATCCAAAGTGTCTTTTTATAATTGAAGATAATAACAGAACAGTGGAGATAAAAATGCTTAATATCTCTTGAAGACAATGCTACAATTTAGTAGTGCATAGGATTTGGTAGTTAAGTTTGAAGATAAGATGAAATTGAATTTATAAAAAAGGACTGGTTCATATTTTCAGTCTATAATTTCAGTTTCATATTCATGATATAAGCTTGTTTTAGTGGAAAGACTAGTATTACCACAACCAAAATTCTCAATGATTTCTCATAAAATGTAATAGTCCCTCATGTGTTGAGGGGTAGAGTTTTAACTATTTAATTTCAGGAACATGTTTAGGGAAGGGAACCAGAGATGGATAGATGGGTGTTGTTCACAAACTGTGTGGCAGGTTATTTGTCTGAAGTTTGAAATCCATAAAAGAATCACTTTTTGAGATCTTTTAAGGAAAATGGGAAACCTTGACAAAACTTCAGAAATTTCTATCTTGATTCTGGAAAATACTAAAAAAACTTGCACTTCTGAAGTAGTGATTGAATTCTTTCTGTCCCCTGCAACACTAGAAGCTTAGCAATAAAATGAGTCATTAAGTGAGAGATTAACTGAATTGCTAGGCATTACTATCATTAGGTAACCACTTATTTATTTTTAAGGTGTTAACATTTACTTAAAGTTACATTAAAACTAACACGAAATTGGGTAGTTTAGACAGTATATTCTCATGTTGGAAAGAAATGAACTGTTGTAGTACATAATGTCAGGAGCCGAAGGATTCAAAAATGTTTTGAAATTGAGCAGTTTCCTGACTTTCTAACCAGAATATTGAGCCAGAAGATAATATTTTCCTGTTGATTTTTGATAGGCAGGTGTCCCTCTTGTCCTGTATTTCAGCATCTTACTGAAGGGCATACTTCAGCCCTTACCAGACCCTG